ACGGTTCCGTGACAAACGCGCACAAGACAATTGCGCACACGACAAACGCGCACAGACAATTCCGCAATGACACAAATGCGCACAGGACAAACGCGAACACCGATAGTTGCGCACACGGACAATGGCGCACACCGACAAATGCGGACACCGACAATCGCCCACAGTGACAAATGCGAACGGCTATATATGCGCACACCGACAAAAGCGCAAACTGACAATGAAGCTATAATTAAAACAAAAAAAAAACATGTTTAAATATAATTTAGTTCAAATATTTTTCAGTACCAGAAAGGAAGACAAAGTATGGGGGAAAAAAGGAACAAAATAGACAACAAAAGAAATTGAATTTAAAATAATTCTGAAAAAATATTAAATGTCGAAATAATTTTTTCACTATGAGAGTGGAAGATATAAAACTAACTGAACCGTAGCTAACTGGTTTCAACTGCTTTCAATTTCATTCAATCATTGCCATTTATAAATACTGCCTTTCATTTTCACACTTTCCATAAAGCAAGTCACTTAAAAATATATTGAGTTATTGTTAAAAAATACTTTTTATCTGAACATTTGAGAAGTATTCAATAAAAAATAAAAAGCTATTAAATTTTATATCTAGTGCTACAAACCCTTCACATTGTCATTTAATGGCCTTATTGGCAAAGAGTCCTTAAAAATCATTCCCCCCCCCCCAAACATATGTGTTTGTCTAGAGTCTACTATACTAATACTTAACTATTACAGAATTAATGAGGAAGCACTAGAGCTTAATAGCAACAGGTATAATAAAAAAAAAATTTAACTGAAAGAATATTGCTGGAAATTATAATAATATATAGAATATAGAGTAGTAATAACCTTTAATTTTAAGTTTGCGTATTGTTCTAATGGTCGTTTAAATCCTAATTGCAAAGTTATGTGTTATAAGATATCAACAGTAATTTCATCATTCAATTAGGACTTCCTTCTACACTATAAATAACGAAGATTATGTACCTAATAAATCTGCGGGTTGAAAGAGGGGTTGGAATAAAACTACGTGTTAATCACTAATCAAATGTTTTCAAATCGGTTGCATGAATGCATGGTTTAAAACGTACTTTGCCTTTAGAAACGTGCAATGCCAACTCTTATTTTAAGACTAATATTCCTCTTTCTTTTATTAAAAAAAAACACAATTATTTTTAGTATAATGTATAAGTATACGTCTTATTTTCAACTATATGCTTAAGTAGTAGTACTGCTGTTATTTGTTTAATACTCATTTTACGAGCTTCCATCATACTACGATGGTTTAACATGCTGATTAAGACTTAAATATCCAATTAAATTTTTTTAAATGACATCTCTTAAAAATCATGACGTAGCAGTACTACTAGAACGAACATTTTATTACTATACTATTAGTCTATACATTTAAAAGTTAATTTTTTTAAAAATATGCATACAATTATTATTACATTTATTATGATTATTAATATATTGTTAGCTTTAAACATGATGTATTTTGGCTGAAAACCAACTAAGACTAAATCCATTATCATCTTTAAATTGGCGATGCATAACTTGCTATTTGCGCATTTGTCGGTGTGCGCTTATATAGCCGTTCGCATTTGTCACTGTGGGCGATTGTCGGTGTCCGCATTTGTCGGTGTGCGCCATTGTCCGTGTGCGCAACTATCGGTGTTCGCGTTTGTCCTGTACGCATTTGTGTCATTGTGGGATTGTCTGTGCGCGTTTGTCGTGTGCGCAATTGTCTTGTGCGCATATGTCTGGTCACCGTTACATGCATTAGTATAAAAAAATGGTTAATGGCACATTATACGTGAATTTCAGAAGAATTTTAATGACAGTGCTTAAAATGATTTTAATATATTTGCAGACATAAAAATAGAAATACAATACACATTAGAGAGGTGACAGAGGAAACTGACTGATGCGTAGATTTTTGCCAAGATATGATTTAGGACAGGCTTTGCTGACCAGCGTTCAGTCATGTTAAATATTGTGCGCCACCCCTCCCCCCAGATGCCAAGATTTAATCAAAATAAACATACTCTTTATTTGTTCCACTGACAAAGAAATAGATTTTAAAAAGATAAGTCAGACAAAAATAATATCACAATGACTTAAGTTTTATTCTGTTTCATCTGTTTTGTTATTTAGCATTGCATTGTGTGCATTAGGAATAGATAAACATTTCAAGACAGCAAATAATTATTGGGTGTTTATTTTAATATAAGATTTAATGACATGCGACCCTGCCAACAGTTTACTTGTCATCAAAGAGGCACATGAAGCCTTCTGGGTTGACCACCCCTGAATTAGGGGAATGGCACCACGAGTATCGAGTATCATTTTTTAAAAATACTTTAAGAAATTATTTTTTAAAAGGATGATTCATATTTTGCATGAATTAAATAGCAGTAGCAGAAACTTGGAAAACAACAGCAAGCATTATTCAGAAAGTGGAGACCTTCATAAACACATGCCTTAGAAAGATCCTGAACATCAAATGGCCAAATACCATCAGGAACAAAGATCTACTAGAAAGGACATACCAGGTGCCAATTGATGAAGACATCATAAAGAAAAGATGGAGGTGGATAGGGCATACTCTCTAAAAACCCCCAGATAGCATCACCAGGCAATGCCTAACATGGAATCCACAGGGAAAAAGAAAGAGAGGAAGGCTTAAAAATACATGGAGATGAGATGCGAGCTAGAGGCAGACACCCAAAATATGGGATAGACCTGGAAGCAAGTGGAAAGGAAAGCACAGGACCGTGATGAGTGGAAAATTCTTGTGGACGCCCTATAACCCATATTTGGCTAAAAAGGCATAAGTAAGTAAGTAAGTAAGTAAATAGCAGTATTTTGTAAGATAACTATAGTGAAAGACTGATTTGAAATTTTTTCTTAGAGTTAACTTTAAAAAAAATTGTTGTAAAAGGAAAAGCAATAATAAATAAATGGCCAGTTTAAAATGCATCCCCCAACCCCCTTACACACACGCAAGTTAAAGCATTAGCTGAATAAATGTTCGTTTTATAATGGAAGCCATTGGTGAATAATAAAAACAGAGGTGTACCATACAATGTACACGTTTAAGTTATCATATTTCAATAACAGTTTAAGAAAAGATTTCTTTTTTTGAGTTCCTCTGAGCAGCAAGAGTATTAGAGTTGATAATAGTAACACAATAAATGATTAGCATTTTCTTGGATCAAGATTGTCGTTTTCATAGTCCTAATTTAATAAAAAGCAGATGAGTTGAAAAATTGCTCTATAAAATCTACAGAAAGCCACCTCTTTTTATGGAGTGCATTATGAAAAAATGTATGAAGTACATCTAACAAAATAAAAGTTGTTTTCAATGCTACACTTTAGACCAAAAGCGAGAATGAAAATACTGCAGGTGGAAAAAGTAAACAAAAAAATAGACAGAATCAGCAATCTAGTGAAAAAATTCAGGGTGAGCAGCTTCCTTTCAGACTTTACATAGTCAATTTTTTTGCTGACACATTTGTCTGTTGATTTTGTTTTCTTTCAGGTTTTCCCACTAACAGTCCCTTTTGATTGCAGATTTATTATTCTTTCTCAACATCAGTCTGATTTAATACAGGAACATAGTAAATTTTTATTGGTAGCAAGAGATACCTAGACCATTTTAGGAATGTAATATTTTGTCAACACCTCTATTTATGTGAAGGAGCTTATGATTATCATTAGTAGCAATTTTCTAAATTTTGTTTGTTTGAACACATGTTAGATCATAAAAGGTAACCGACTAATTTTTTAAAATCACCTTTGAATTACAATAAAATGAATATATTCAAATTCTTTGTGATCAAATTTTGTTACAATTTCCCTTTCCAATTAAATGATCTTTTATCGGAATTTATTAGTGTTGCACTTGCAATTATTATGTCAACTTGTTTTCAAATTGGGATTTGTTGGTGAAAAAAATCATTGTAGCTGAGATTTTACAACTAGAATTGGGAAGATTTTTGTCTCTGAGGGTTGATAAGCACAAACATAAACAAAAAGTAGTGGTTAAGCCATATAGTTATGTTGAAGAAAATCAAAGTTAGCACACAATAAAAAGCAAACAAACTAGATCTAGTCTTTCATAGAATAAGTGCAAAGAAAAAAAAAAATTAAAGATTAAAATAAAAAAATTAAAAAATGAGGGGTAAGGGAGGGGTGTGTGTTTTGGTTGTTAACAGAAAGAGAATAGATCCTTAGAGGAAAAAAAATTTAAAGGCTTTCCACACATAATGTTGAAAAACTTAATCACAAGCTTTCAAATTATATTTTATTTATGTTAAACTTAAAACAATAACATTTCATTGATTTTAAGCTCAAATTCATATTGAAGGACGCCCGACAAAAATAAAAGCAAAGCCTGGAACTGGAAAGAAAGAAAAAAATATTGATTTAAAAATGAGCAAGCATTAAATACTCAACTCTTCCGACTCCACATCCATAGAGCACGCTGACACAAGAAACAGAGGCAGACTTAATTATGATAACAGTCATGTTCAAAACACTTAAGTAGCCTTCTTGCTGCTCAAGAATAATTTGATGTTTTAAGGATTCCAAACACAAACATGATTAATTCTTCTTTATTTCAATACTTCACCCTAAACACGCTAATGCTTTTTCTAATAAAGAGTTTTATTCAAAAAGTTTCCTTACATCTAAGGTTACATGTAATCACATCGAGTTAATACATTACTTTCGGTTGTATTACTGCAAACTCAGAAATTACAATCTCAATGTGCCCTTTATTTATTGTTGTAACGCTGAAATTACTGCAGGAACACTAGCGAAACAATTTAATGTAGATGTCTTGTGCTTAAATTGTTTTTAGTTGGAACGTGTGAAAATGTGACTTTATTAAAATGTCTATTTATTTATGTGTTGAAAATGTATATGTACAATGTAATAAATTTTTTTAAAAATTCCATTTTTATTTTGGATCAATATCTTATCTTATCTTCAAGTGTTTTTTTTTTTGTTGTTTATATTTCAACATTAAGATACTTTTACTTTTTTTCTTCATGAAACCCCAAGTGGCTCCAGTGAAACGAGAGACTTACCATCATGTGATGGTTGATTTGGTGGCAGCAGAAAACATATGCAGGAGGCAACACAGACGTGCCAGAGACTGTGCAAATACTTGTAGTTCCCTGCCGTCTCCAAGAAGGCAAAAAGAGCTCCGCCAGTCACAGCCAGTATCACACCCGGCAGCAAGAAGAAAACATAACGCCGCCAAGTTGGGTAGAGTCGTTTCCTTTGATACATTTTTACACCCTGTTGACGCAAAGGTCAATTAATTTAGTTCAGATTGCATAATGAAAATCAAGAGTGCATTGTACAAAAAAAAGTTGTTTTTTTAAATTTGACTTTCATGCTGTTTTAAAAAGCTATAAGTTACAAGATAAATCTAAGGCAGACTGCATAATTGCAAGGGCTGCTTCCAAACAGTTCTATTTTTGAGGGCATAATAATAAAAATATTCAAACTTTTGTTTTTTCTGTTATGGGCAACTGTATTACATCCACACAAAAAATTATATTATATTTGAATACCCTTCCACTTGTTTGCATGTGACATATTTAAATGATCTTACACCATCTTAAGTCACTGACCTATACTAGTCTGTGTCTTAAGTCTTACAGCAGCCTCGATCATTGACTTATAATAGTCTGTGTCTTAAGTCTTATACCCCACACTAAGTCATTGACTTATACTAGTCTGTGTCTTAAGTCTTACACCAGCCTTGGTCATTGACTTACACTACTCTGTGTCTTAAGTATTACACCAGCTTTGGTCATTGACTTACACTACTCTGTGTCTTAAGTCTCACACGAGCCTTGGTCATTGACTTACACTAATATGTGTCTCTTGTAATAATTTTGAGAATAAAAACAAAAATTTTATTTGTGCTATTCTTGTGTGCTGTAATTATGATAGAAAGGGGTTAAGGTTAAATGACTGTTAAAAAATTACCAAACAACATAGTCAAGACCCTTTACCAAACAACAAATGCATTAAAAGCAGTTAAGCTTGCTGAATCAGATGACATTGTTACAATTGTATTGTAATGCAAGTTGGTAATTGCGTCAGTCCCTTCACAAAAATACATTGAGTATTTAGCAATATGAAAGACTAGGCAACTATATTTTTAAGTGTATGGTTGGAATACGATACAAGGATGTTGTGTTAAATCATTGAAGCTTTGATAGTTAATGTGTTAAGCACCAAGAGAGACATCCAAGGATACTCATTAGTGGAGCTTAGTGGGTTAATTAAAAAAAAAAAAGAAAAGTTCCTGGGGCTCTGGTCGACATGTCAGTAGTGGCATGCCACCTACAGAGACACTGCTACCTACCCTGTAGCCCCCTTATTGATACCCAGGTAACAAACTCAGCATTGCGTGGGCAGACAAGGGGCATACAAGGTATCTGCCAAAGATGGTAGCAACTACAGTGCTACTACCAGCTGTGGACATATGTAAATTGATACAACTGTAGAAACAGCGTAGGGATCATGATAACTGGTTGCCGCTAATGGATATGAGGCGGATAATGGTGACCTCATGCCGATGAATCTATTTTAAAACAGCCGTTGAGGAGGCTCTTAGTAGGCAAACGTTTCGTGCCAGCTACTTAGCCAACTATTTCTGAGGTAGAAACCCACTGTAGAAATCCGTTTTAGAGGGCGTCTGACGCTTCTCTGGGTTGGGCAGGGGGGAGATATGAGGACGCAAGTGCACAATCCCAACTCTTGTGAAGGTCGACTGCTGGCATTGTGAGAGCAGCGTCACCAACCGACCTGATGTCCTTAAGCTGAGATGGCCCCTGTGATTAGTCAGTCGAGTGGGTATGGGCGGGAGGCTGTCCTAGCAAAGGGAGATCTCCAATGTGACGCTTTGTGGCTCGATAGTTTGGGGACTTTTCAGGCTGGGGGTGCAGGGGGAGGAGGAGCGCATTAAGAGCTTTAATTTAGATGGACGGCTCACCGGCAATTTGCTAATGTACATTGTCAGTGGGTAAAAATACTATTATTCTTACAATCTGACACACTATATTATTTTATTAAATAAACTACTGTCTTCTTTAGAGTAATTTATTCATCTTTTTTATTTTACTGAACTAATTAAAAACCTATTTAACTCACCCATGACACAGATGTAACTAACAGGCCACTTAAAAGAGGAACAGCAATTACACATATACTGGTTCTATCATAAATAATTCCAATCAGTATACCAAAGGGACCTATGATCTGTAGCACACGAGTAATCCATAACAACCTGAAGAACCAGATGTTAGTACAAGCACATTAGTATGATTTATAGTCTGCATTACAATAAGTCTTGTTATTTGTACAAAGCCAAATGCTTGAGAAGACATAAGATGAACAAATCAGAGATTGTTTAGTACAGTTGTTTCTCTTACCTTTTCCGTCTTCCAGATATTGACAAGAGGAATTGTTTATTATTTTTTGAATCACATAAACACACACACACACACAAAATAAAAAATTTGAGCATTTGCAGCGAAAATAAAATAAAATATGTATTAAATTGGAAGATTCCGATGTCAGCTTAAATATTTTAACCCATTGCCATCCAGACCACCAATTAAATGCCTAATATATATTATGTCCTAAATGGGCCTGAATGTGTGATATGGCAGTGTTCAATATTTCTGTAACAGGAAGGTCTTCGAGGCATAAGCTTTCTTAAAAATGGAGAAAACAAAATATCCTTGAAACTTTGGGTTTGTTAATATCTTGAATAGAAACACTTGCTGTGTTCAATAGATCCCCTTTTTTTTTAAAAAAAAAAACAACAAACAAATTAGTAACACACAGATTTTTAAATAAATCAAATGCTGGTGCCTGCTTAGAATTCAAAGGCATCCAGTTATATCAAATGCTTTTCAGATTTGATTTGATCTGTTATTCAAGCTATATATATATTTATATATATAGATATAGATATATAAAATGTATATATATATATATTATATATATTTATATATATTTATATATATATATATATGTGTATAAATATATAAATATATATTATGAAAGCTTGTATTTCAATTTATTCACTACTTTTTGTCCCGGTAATGTTTTGGGTTATATAATTTGAATATAGAAACTAAATGTCCATTTATCAATAAAACTATGCGATTAGCTTAATATGTGAATATAATCCCTTTTTCATAAAAGCTCTAACTCTGTTAAGTGTTAATATTTCTTAATTTGCTAATAATGTTATTATGTGGTTCAATTACAACCATTATACTAGAGGCTGCCAACACAAACATTACAACCCTTGGGGATCACATGCCAAGACATTTGAAACGTTTCCACCAAAATGAGCAATTGAAAAATGCCAATCAAACCTTATCTGAGCCATTGCTACCAGGGTGAACCATACGGAGCAAGAAGACCCAAAGAAATCACATGCCTGGAGCACGTCGTACTTAACAAAGCAGAGACGGTACCTGTCAAGCCTATTCCCATCACATGCATGATAGAACTGAAAGAAAGCAAAACTTTGTAAAATTAAACAAAATTAGGAACCTCAATGGATAAAAATGCAGCAAAAAAAAAAAAAGAAAGAATTGCGCTTTGGAGGTAATCTGCCATAAATTAATTATTTATTCCATCGATGTGACATGTTTTAGTTTCCAAGTGGTAACAAAGTGTCACATTAAATTTAAAAAAAATAAATAATAATTTTGCAGCAGGTAAACTAAACTAAATAACTGATTTGGAAAGAAATTTTTATTATTTTCTTCCAAGTAAGCCTTAACAATATTTTTTTTTTTGTTGTAAATTTAACATGTCGAATACAATCTCATCATTGTTGTAAACCTTAACATCTGACCAAGTTTTTCAGCCACAGTTGTCAAGTTGGAACAAATCCCGAACTGTCAGTACTTTCTTACAGCTGAGGCCTTAAGCTTAACTGCACATGATTTTGAAAGTTATAAAAAAATATACATGTTTCTGATCGTTAGGAGTGAATCATCATCAGGAACCATCGGCACATAAATCTTGCCACTGAACGTTTCAAGTATGATGTTAAATAGCTCCTTAGAAATGACCAATGGTCTATCTGAGAGTGGATGCTAAATGAGCAAGGTAAAATAAATAATGCTCAATTTCTGAATATAAAAGGAAATGATATGGATAGTAAAAGAAAGGTATATTTTTCTAGAGAATGAAACTTAGAATGCTTTTGAACATATATTAATTATTTTTTTTTTTTAATTTTATTTTATTTTTATCTTTAAAGAAGCATAATTTTGTGTTAAATTAGAATATATTTTTTCTCCAACTCTGTATTAATTAAGGCTACCAGTATTTTAAATTTACTTAATTATAATTTAGCTTATATACATTCTATTTAAAAATAGATAACGTTTACAAAGTTAATCCTCACTTGAATCTGACAATTCATTTAAATTGTATTCATTGTAAGCTGTGTTTTCTTATTTCCTTGATCAAATCCTTGTGAAAGTTGATTCATACTGGTATACGTATCTCTTTTGAATTCCATTTGGTTGGTAAATATAATGCCAGTGCAAAAATAAAAAAGCATGCATTGACAGGCTTAAACTGCCATGCTAATTTTACTGAAAGGATTTTTTTTTGTTGACAGTATAAAACTAAATTGATAAATTCACAAAAAACGACACATTTTTAATAAGCTGTTGTTATAAAGTGCAGTCCTTTTTGAAAGATTTGCCTTAAGCCGGGTTTAATATATTTTTACTGTTTTTATAGCTGGTTCACAGTCTCCCCTTAATTATTCGAGACATTATTATAACAAGATGTTTACCAGAGCAGGAGAAACTTTACAAACAGTAATTATTTAATTACCTTTTTAAAATGACATCATTTGTTTTTCATAATAAATTTTTGGAGATAATAGCACAACGTTTCATTTGTCATTTATATGCCCTTGAAGCAACATTTTTGGTTTAAAAAAAAATTAAAAAATCCATGGATTGATATGGGTACTTTGATATTGTGATAAACTAGCTCACATGGTATATGATTTATGCTATATATGATTTATGCTAACAATTACTAAACCATTTTTCAATTTAAAGATATTCAAGATATCTCCTGGCTAAATAATGTGCAGTTTCCATCAACAATATTCCTTTAACATTTGGGCCCGCCAAGATCTTATATTAATTAATTTTTTTTTAAATTTCTAATGACCAAAAATACTGTGATAGCTCAGCAAAATTTTCAATAGAAATGAGAAAAAATATATTTTGATTTAACCTAGATGAACAGGCAGACATGAAACCAACTTAAAAAAAAAAGTTCACTATTAAAAATTTTGTCTATAAATCTTATTGTAAGAATTAAAAGAATTTACAAAACATATTTGAAAAAAACAACAAAATAACTTTCTTTTACCACAAATGTCCATGAATCTTACTAAATTAAAGCTCTTAAAGCATTTAAATACAAATGCACCAAATTGTATCCTTCAAAAATGGTTTTAAAAAATGCATGGTTCAACAACAGGCTAAAAAATAGATCTTTTGCACTTAAGCTTTTTCTGTCTGGTTACTTTATGAAGATCTAATACAATTTTCTAATTTAAAAAAAATTAAAAAATTCAGCAGTTGTGTTTAAAAGTAGAAGATAGATTTTAAATTTCAAAACTTTCAAGTGCGATTGTAGTTTATTGAACCATTACTAATATTTTCAAAAATTGTTTAACAAGATTCACTTTTCGATAAACACTCTCATGTAATTTAAATTTGATATATCAAATATAACACTTCTTATAAAGCTTAGACGGTTTTCAAAATCATATCTGGGGCACAAGATTAAAACAGAAATGACCCAATGGTAACCTGCAACGACTTCCTTTCTCCGACACATACCAATTCCGTCAAAACAAAAAGAACTATGGAGCAAACCCTACACTTACTGTAGAAAAGAACATGGTGTACGTGAAAACAAATGACTCCACCAGGAAGCGCCGTTTTATGCCGATGATGATCGCTGGTAGAAAGAAGAGGTTTGACAAGGTGAGCAAGAAAGCTGCCACCAGCTGAATTCCCGATGACTCGGCGTTGCTGTCGTCAGTGCAGGCATATCCTTGATAATCTAGACAAATTTTTTGGTATGGTTTAGAGATTAGTTTTTCAATGCATCAGTTCAGCTAATTCATTCAAGCTTGAAATTGAACCAATTATATTACATTAAGAAATGGCGTCAGCGGGCCGTCGAGCTTGCGCTCTTTATGCCCTCCCCAACCAGGTATCGGGCCGCGAAGCGGCACGTCGGGGATGTCCCTTTGTCAGGACAGCCCCCACCCGAGTCTGCTCGACCAGGTCTCCGCCGGGTGCCGTCCTAACCCAAAGACACCCAGTCGGTCCGATACTGTGTTTGCACACAGTGCACACGATCGACTTTCTCAGGAGTCGGGATGGAAAATTTTACATCCTATTATTTTTCCCCACCCATCCCGGGGAAGCGTTAGACGCCCTATAAGAGGGATTCTACAAAGGGTTTCCACAACGCAACTAATTCGCGATGCAGCTGGGACGAAACGGTTGCCTTGGAGCAGCTTCTCAGGGCTGCGTAGTAAGAATCATCGGCCAGAGGTTACCACCTTCGCCTCATATCCATTAACGGCAACTTGTAATCATGATCCCTACCCTGTCACTGCCTATTGTTCCAGTTGGGAAATATCACAACTGGCAGCCAGGAGCTGTTTTATGTACGGCAGGTACCGAGCACATCCCTTGTCTGCCCACGCAGGACGCGCCCAGTGGTCGTGTTTCCCGGGTAACATCGAGGGGGGTCGGTGGCCGACGCCTCCTAATCGACAAGCCACCACAGACAAGACAACCGGAGACCGGGAAGAATTGAACCAATTAAACAACCTGCCATCATAACGAGTAATTTTTAAAAAAATCAAGTATGTGAATATTAATTCCATGGCAGGGAACTTGAAGGGGAATGTTGAGATTTTGTAAGATATTGTAAAATTTTCCTTCCCCCCCCCCACACTGCTTATCCCAAGAGTTTTTTAAAAATTGCTAGTTGATTTTTGTATTAAAAAACACATTTTAAAACTTCTTTTTCATTACTGACTTACAGTCTACAGTAAATTTATTTTATTTAAAACATTTTTTTTTTTTTTTTAAGTTGCAACGGTTAAAGGTCATTCAATGATATTTTACAACCAGTCATAATGAATGCATGTTGACTTTCAAAACTGAATTTCATTTTTTTCCAGTAGTTGGAGTGAGATTTATACGTATTTTTAAAATCTTGTAAATTCTTATGACCTTCTTCATTGTTCAAAAGCTTTGATTTATGCAAGTGTTCAAATTTCACACTCAAAAACAGAAAGAATTCCTCACCAGCCAAACAATCACAAGCAGAGAAGAAGACGAAATCTGAACCCAGTTTTGAGCTGTAACACTCTCCTTTGTCGGAACAACCATTCTCGAAGCAGGCTTGAGTCTCAATGTCTATGTCTAAATCAATAGACTGAGGGCAAACAGTCAGAGTGTCTCTATAAAAGAAAAACAGATTTTAGATGATTTTTGTATTTATAGGAAATAGGGGTAGGAAATACAGTACATTAATTTCTGTCACAAACCAATCACCAGGAAGTATTCAAAAGTGCATCTGACAAAAATTTGATTTATAATTAAAACATAAAAATCCTTATTTCTATTGTGTTAACTAAAAATTTGATCTTACATGATGATTTTTTAACCTTACTAAATTAAGAACTAAAATTTTTAAACTTTTAGTAGCAAAGCAATAAAATAGCATTTAATATTTCTTTATTTTAGCTATACTTGAGTGTCTTTCAGCATGATTTGGAAAAAACTGCAAAAGAATTTATACCAAAAAATATATTTTCTTATGTATGGAAAGTACTATACAGCAGTGGTTCCCAACCAGTGCTCCTCTAAGGGGTTCTGCAACCACTCTAGGCCACCTCTATTAACTTGCAAAACATATGGTAGGCCTAAGGGGCTATCATAAATAATTGATTCTAAAGAGGGCTTCACAAGTCACAAAAAGGCTGGGAACCACTGCTACATGGTATAAAAACAATAAAAATTATTCTTCCTTGTTTGCAATCAGATATTCTTTACTTATACACAATGATTATATGGGTTATTTTCCAGATTTATTGAAGATATTTCTTTCTTTTTTTTTATTTTACACCACTCTGTACTTTCATTCCTGTTAAAATATTTATTTTGATACATTGTAAAAAAAATTAACAGCTGTTTAATTTTCTTTCCCAAATTGATGTCACATTTCAATAGAAAAAAATGTAACATTTCAAAAGAAATAGAAATTTATCCACGAAAAAAAATTCTAAAAAGTGGCAATTTAAAATTAAAAACTTAAGATACTTTTATTTCATTTAGCATTCTAATTAGTAATACATTGTGTAATTATTTAAGGGTACCAAAAAAAAGGGGAGTGTTAAAAAAAAAAAAAGAATCCTAAAGAACAAAATTTGCATGCCAATTACTTTTATACTTACAATCCTTGTTTATAGCATTTGGCTTGCAATACGATATGCCACATCCCAGCCTTAGGGTAAGGTACATACTGAGTTATTTTCCCATAATTTACAGCAGTGACTGTTCGATTGGTAGTTTCAGACAAATTGTTGCAGACATCAAAGTTGTTGTCTACGTCTGGTAAATGGTTGTAAATAATAGCTCCACACAAGACAACATATTCAGTGAGACCCTGCCAGGAATAAGCCATGGTAGTTAATAAAACAGAGATCTAATTTTTTTTTAAAAATTACATGCTATAGAAACATTATTTCCCAGTTAAATTGAAATTTAAACAAATGGATCAAAGCCAGGGGACCTCAATCTAGGATCCTCGGGCCAAATCCGCTGTCATTGGGTTACCAGGGCAGCAGTGACAAATATAGAACAATACATTGACCATTTCATTAGCCAAAAGCCAGGCCCATACTTCCCTTTGAAGTACTAACACCAGACCTGTTTACTCTTACGATTTTGGCGTACAATGTACGATTTTGAGGCCTAAATATTATATATACTGTGTTTTTTTACTATTCAGATAATGTATTGAACGATTTTGTGAGGATAGTGTACGATTTTAAGAGTTGGAAAGTAAACAGGTCTGTAACACTGTAAACTGATGTTGATTAAAACTGTTCTTCATTTTTAAATATTGTATTGCAATACAAATACAAATAAGACAACTGGAGTGTGCATAGTTACTTGATTATAGATTTTTCGAACTATACCCATCTCTGTGGGACACTGCAAGGATATATATTTTAAAAAAACGTAGAAGAACTTTAAAATTTTATATACAAAAAGAGCAGAAATAATTATCATAAGTTTTAAATTAGTATTCTCAATCATATAATATGTTTTTTTGTATCTAAAAACAATTAAGCTCAATACATTTTGTATTAATTTAGTTATAAACTCCAAACAACTAGTGTCTGTGTTAATTTGTACACAGTGGAACAGATGTGCTTGGGTCAAAATTAGAGGTTAGTTTCTCTCAGTTTGCATGTATTAGTAACGAGAATGATATTTGAGATATATCAGTGTCTTAATGTTGTTATATTACAATAAGTTTTTAAATCAGTATTTTAATTTAAATCAGTAGAGATTTTTACAGAAGAAGCAGCCAGAAAGAGGGAAAATGAAAGAGCTCCATGACATAAAAAGAAAGCTCTCGGTAAGATACAAGAATCCAGAGAGACCGATTAAAGACACGGAATGTATATCAATAGAGAAGCAAAAAAAACAACAAAAAAGGTGGATGGAATACTTGAAGGAATGACTAAACAGACCTCCACGCACAGACACACCAGATATACAGCCAGCATTTACAAATAGAGGACAGTGCCCCAAATAAGCAGAAAATAGCCCTGGTTATCAAGCATCTCAAATTGGGGAAAGCATCTGGATGGGATAACATCAGAGCACAGATGATGAGAGCAGATATAGATACAAAGGTCAACATGCTGCACCCTCTTGTTTGAAAAGATATGGGAAGAAGAGAGAAGATTGGAAAGAAGGATACGTCGATAAGATAACAGAGAAAAGGGGATCTCACCAACTGTCCAAACTACAGAGGAATTACACTGCTGTGTGTTCTAGGAAAGGTCTTGAACATAATTATTCTGAATAGAATGAAGGACCAGGTTGACCCACAGCTAAGAGATCAACAGGCTGGCTTCCATCTAGACAGATTATGCACAGATCAAATTGCAACACTACAAATCATTTTAGAACAGTCCATTGAATGGAACTCTCTCTGCCCCCCCCAAACCCCAAATATAGCCTGGACCCACAAACCTTGTGGAAACTTTGACAGCATTATGGGGACCAGGAAAACTAGTCAGCAGAACTGTTTACCCTCAAACTCTTAAAATCGTACAATATCATCACAAAATTGTTCAATACATAATCATAGTAGTAAAAATAAACATACAGTATATATAACGTATACACCTCAAAATCGTACATTGTACGCCAAAATCGTAAGAGTAAACAGGTCTGAGTCAGGATCATTCAGAGTTCTTATGAAGAAATGACATGAAGGTGGACTCACTGATGCATATTAAGTGGAAATAGGAGTCAGACAAGGATGTCTCTTGTCCCCCTTTCTACTCATCCTTGACATTGGCTTGATAATGAAAAAATCCACAGACAAAAAGAGGAACGGGATACAGTGGACACTCTGGAAACAACTGAATGATCTAGACTTTGAAGACGATATTGCACTTCTATTTAACAACCAGCAACAAATGCAGGAAAAGACAAAACCATTTAAGCACAGCTCGGACTCAATATAAATAAAAGCAAGACAAAGATTTATGCCAACCAAGAGCATATCTCTCTGCCAGGAAATGCACTGGAGTCCCCCACATACTAGGCAGCACCAATGACAGAACTGGTGGATCAGAAGCTGATGTCAGGGCTAGAATTGGAAAGGCTAGGTCAGCATTTGTGCTATTAAAGAAAATATATGAGTCAAAGGACAAACCAAAGTCAGAATTTTCAACACAAATTTCAAAACAGTCCTACTCTATGGAGCTGAAACTTGAAGAACAGTGAGCATCATGCAAAATGTACAGACCTTCAAAAACACTTGCCTTAGAAAGATACTGGACACCATCCTCAACAAAGATTTACTGGAAAGGACATACCAGGAGCCTAGTGTTGAAGAGATCATAAGGAAAAGATGGAGGTGGATAGGGCAAAGATGGAGGTGGATAGGGTAAAGATGGAGGTGGATAGGGCACACTCTTTATAAACCCCGAGATAACATCAACCGACAGTCCCTAACATGGAATCCACGTGAAAAAAGAAAGAAAGGAAGATCTAAAATTACATGGAGCCGTGAGCTAGAGAGGGCAGACATACAAAGTATGGGATACGCCTGGAAACAAAAGCACAGGACCGAGATGAATGGAAAATTCTTGCAAGCGGCGTATGCCCCAGATGGGGTATAAGGCATAAGCAAGTAAGTAAGCAAGTGGGAGAGATTTGAAATGCAATTTTAAATCACTGGAAGCTGGAAAATGTCTCAGAAATTGTCCAAAGTTGTGTGATGTTAAATCTTTTGATGACACAATCGTAACAATGGAATTGTGTAATCTAGTTAGTTTGTTGACTCAAATTTTTCTGTTGGTAGTAAGCTCAGCAATTTAATGTTTCAAAGCGTAAGGAATAATAATAATAGAATTTTGTAAAAAGACATCATAATTTCTTCACGACATGGGAAACCTCTAAGCAGCACATCCAGCTGCACTCATTGAATATAATAAACTATAGCCTGGAAAATCATTAAAGTCTCACTTTGCAAGATTTATGTTAACATATCTGTGCGCAATTAGAAGACACCTGACCACCTACGTGTGTATAGTTCACCAGCTTTCCTGTCCACTTCAGGGTACCTCCAATATCCGCCGGGTCAATCATTTTAAACGGGATTGTTACCACAGGAGCAGCTCTCAAATCCACAGAGAGTCCCACGCTGTTGGGGGTCACATAACCAAAGTATGTATTAAACTGATGCAGGGGCTGAACCCTGTCCAGGAGAGGAAAGGTGACACACTTCTTTTGGAGAGTATCAGTCACTGAAGAGCATTCTGTGAATAAGAGTTATCAAGCAAAAATACTTTGTTAAAAAAGACTTTTTTTTTTGTGGGCCAATTATTGATGATAAAAGATTAGATTCACATTATAAAAACAAACATAAATTAGTCTAACTATTTATTTTTTTCTCACATTACCTTTTATGACTACTGAAAACTCTATCGTCTGTGAAACGCCCGGACCCAGGGAATGCATTTCAATCATTTGGAGGTGATCAAAAGAGGGAGATGATACTGACAAAACACATGGTAATGTGTCACAGTGTTGGGTGATTGGGTCTCTCAAAGCAGGAAGATAAGTCATGCTGATGTTGCACGCGGGAGACTGACAGCTGGTGATGTTAACTGTATAGCCGTAGGTTTTGCTTGGCACTTTAAAACTAAATAGAAATAAGAAAATTTGGGCAGAGAGTTAAAATAGCGTATGGTGAATCTTTTTGCAAGGTTTCTATTTATTTTTTATTTAACCCTAGATAAATGTTAAGTTTAAAGAATAATCTTTGACTATTAGTGTATTTTTTTTTTTCTGGTTGAAAGGTTTGTAAAAAAAAAAAAAAAAAAAATTAAAAAACTGCCAAAAAAAAAAAATTGGTGAATTTTTTTGCAAGGTTTTTATTTATTTTTTATTTAACCCTAGATAAATGTTAAGTTTAAAGAATAATCTTTGATTATTAGTGTATTTTTTTTTTCTGGTTGAAAGGTTTGTAAAAAAAAAAAAAAAACAATTTAGCAACTGGCAAAATAGTAAAATATCATTTCAGAATTGTACCGTGCCCTCTCAAAAATGGTATGATATTACAATAGTTAATAAATGAACATGCAGTATAACATATTCAATAACTATTCACATATGTATAAAAAGGTCACTTCCCCAAAGTAGATAACAGACATTTATATGTTTATTTGTATTTCTATTGCAAAGAAAAGGTGCAAGTCACTTCCCTTTTGATAGCTGAAGATAATGTGGGGGAGCTAGCCTCAAGGACACCTGCCAAAGTCACCCTCGAGCAAAAATTCAAAAGCATGAATGCACTTTTGGGATAACTGAACCTAGTTTTGCACTATTCTTCACTTAATCAGAATGCTTGTGCAAAACTAGGTTCCCTTCAACTGTGTTTATATAACTCTTTTAATTTTAGTAGTCACTAAATAGCAAAATTGTTTTCTAATTTTACAAGATTTGAGATTAAATATTTTAATCTGATTTTTAAAAATAAGTCACAAGAAGGACAGTTACATCAAATGTGAACGTACTGTCACAAAAAATTGATGTATACACAATTCAAATGTGTGTTTGTGCCAAGAATGAAAATAATCACTAACTGTATGAAAAAATAAGTTCATTTGTGATACATCCGGTGAGCCAAGCTATTTAACATGAACGGTCGCGAGTCAGCCACCACTGCATTAACCCTATGAGCCTGATTTATTTTCACTTAACATATTGTAGTCTAATAACTACTGCAAGCTATATTGGGAAAAGGAAAGAGAAGTGCTGGAACAAAACTGGTGTATTAAAATTGCACATCAGGTTAGTGACTAGATTTCAAATGCAGCTTACTAGATCTTGAAGAATATGTCAAAATCTAATGCTACTGTCACGAGTAGTTTAGGATCCATTTTAAACATAAAATTTGTAGGTTTCTCCATTTTCGCAAACGGCGCAGTTCAGCCCAAAAATGAAAAAAATTATCTGCTAATATTAATGTTGCCATATCTAACAAATGCATTGTGAAAACACAAACAAACAACAATATGATGTTCATTAAAATAATCATGGAACAAGCTGGAACAAGCTGGTGTCATTTTATGGTCTTCAAAAACATTTAGACACCTCCCTCTACCCCCCCCCTGCACACCCGTAGACTCCTTAGTGAACACCACCACAGCCCCCCCTCCCCTTTTATCCTCTCAGTGCTCAAGTAAGTAATATATTTATTGATTGTTTCTAACAAATCACTTTTCTCTGTCCACTCAACGAAACAAAATAGATTTTTTTTTTTTTTTAAAGGTCGTTCAAACTACTGGAATATATATTTTAACCCTGGTCTCTTAAAATCCTAGCTCAGTGTTCAATCATAAAAGACGTCTCAAAAATCATTATTGTGCGCCAAAACAGTAAGAGTGACCAGGTATGCTTTCAGGCGCATAGAGATGAGCTCACAACTTCCATGGTCCTGTTTAATGAGAATTGCTTATGCAGTACTTAAAGACAGATAATGTCTGGTAAATAGTAATATTTAAAGAAAGCCCAGGCAAGACATCTGAATAATTTCTTTTGTTTTGCTGAGTTATTAATCATCATTGTACACCCTAAAAAAACTTCCCATTTCATTTATAATGTCCGATTACTTTGACATCAAAAAAAGATATCCTGTGATACATGGCACATCCCTAGCTTAGTAAATCCTTGAAATCTGTACCCACTGGTGTTAGAACTTAAATCTGAGAGACGCAATCAGTAATTAATAACAAAACCTCTACAACAATGTGCCATCGCTTTGTGCGTCATAACAAAAAGGGGTAACTTACTCCAGCATTTCATAAAGGAACAGTCTTACGAGATCGGGTGGAGTGGGATAACTTGTCACGTATACTATGAAGTGTTAAAGAAAAGTAATTACCCGGTACTGGAATTTTAGTTTGTTTGGTTTTTTTGTTTTTTTACCTGAAGACTTTGGCAGTTAATCCAATTTCAGCTGACACATTTGTGTTATAGCTGATTAAAGTTGACTCGATTGAGTCTCCCAATTCTAGTTGGGTCATTAAAGAGTAAAGGCAATCTTTTTCTGAACTGAGACCCTGAAAAGAGGAAAATAAAGAAAACACAATCAGCTCTAATGTTTAATCAACACCCAAGGTTTTTGATAACAGAAAATGTTACAAATGTTCATAAATATATTTTTTTTTTTTTAAAATAGATGTTCCCAGTTCTTTCCAGGTTAAAGGATTCTGCATCAATCTTGTTAAATCATGATAAATTGTTACTATCCCAAAAAGTGTCCATGTCGACTTCACGTTGAAAAAAAAGTTACGGTTGTATAGCCAATTTGTATGTTTTTAACCCTCTTGAGATGGCTAGGTCGATTGGCCCAGAGTGTTATGGTGAAAAAGACAAAAGGCAGATCTATAGCCCAAATAATAAAAGCCTCCAGATTGGCTGGCTGGTCTTTGTACCAGCTAATCAGATTGATTCTCTTATTTTATCCTTATCTCGCCATTTTATTATAGGGGCTTCTTCCATTGATGGATTACAGTGTTCAGTCATTTTATATAAAAAAAATGTTTTACCTAGTGACCCCTATAAATTATTTAAAAATGTGAACTTGAAATATGCTAAAAGGCATAAGCAGCCCCAGGGGAATATTTTATGCAGTTGTTACACATTGAATCACATTCAAATGGATGTTAGGATCTATTAAGGTTTCAACAATCGTAAAATGTACCAAAATTCTGCAAGTAAGACCTGGTTATTCTTAGTGTAGAAAAAAATGCATGCATAAACTATGCAAATCAGGACATCCAATTTGCAAAAACGTTGAGATTTCAGTTTGATTCAAAAAGATTGTATTAGTTCATTCAGATCCCAGCAAGAATATATTTAATTTTATGCTTGGAAAGTAATTACCAGGTAGTTTATTTTCTATAATTTTTTTTGCAAAGTAAGTGCAGGGCTAGTGAAAAGAGCTCAGTCTACTTGACACAGACAGTCCAAACAGGCTCTGTCTTAAGAGGGTTAAAATTAAAATATATAGCTTTAACATTGAGAATGAGCTCTCATAGTCTGTTTTGACCATGTTTTTAAGCTTTGTTTTTCTAGAATGGTGACTGGATTTTAAAAATAACTTGGCATATCAAAGCATAAAACCAGACCATATATATTTTCTAATTTAAATATAAAATTTTAATGAAAATAATTTACCTTCAGCTGTATTGCTGTGGAATAGCCTTCTTTAAAAGCTATGATGTACCAATTTCCGGGAGCAGGCCTCAGTAATGTAAAAACAGCCCTCATATCTACATTCATATGGAACTCTAGGGTGGGTGACTCTACTATAAAATTGTCAGGAAAAGTTTGTGGAGATTGATGCACCAAAGGCATGCCTGCATATTGCATCAACCTGTCAAAAGCATGAATATTTATGGCTAAGAGAACTCTGCACAAGAAGTCATACAGTTGAAATCACCAACTATAAAAAATAAGTACTGTATATACTTGTTCATGAGCCAGAATTTTTACAAAATATTTCATTTGAATAGTTATGGTGGTCAGGTTCAGAGTGGGCAATAGAAGATTTGTATAAGTTTCTCCACGTGCATTGATTCTATCATAGACAACAAAGAAGAAAAAAGTCATTTGCCAAGTAATTTGCCGAAGTAAAAAAAAAAAGATATGAGCGAAATTGGGTCACACTTATTTTTAATCATTTTCCCACTGCAGTGCTTAGTTAGTATTGATTGATTGATTGATTTGATATTTATATCGCGCCGGTATCCATGCCATTTTAGCATGCTCACTGCGCTGTGGTCCTCCGAAATCTATTTAAACAAAAAAGTTTTTAATTGTTTCTTAAATGATTTTTTATCATTTACAATTCCCCTCAAAGATTGAGGCAAACTGTTCCATAATTTTCGCGCTATCGCTTCAAAAGAGCGCACTCCATACAACTTTTTTCTGTGTTTATCCACACTAGGAACACTCAGCAAGTACTGTGATGAAGACCGCAGGCTCTTAACGGATATATATTTATAAATCAGTTCCTTGAGATATTCCCGTGCTGAGCCATCTCTGCAGCTGTACGCCAGGGACAGAATTTTGTAGTTAATGCGCTCACTCACAGGAACCCAATGGAGATCTCGTAGAACTGGGGTGATGTGGTCAGATTTTTTCATCCGCAATACAATGCATGCTGCAGTATTTTGTATCTTTTGGAGTCTCTGAATTTGGTTCTGAGGTAAACCCCCACAAACAACTATTACAGTAATCTAATCTTGACTGGATTAGAGTTACTGCTACAGCATTGGCTGTTCTCCTATTGAGTTGAGGACGCAGCTGACCCAGGGCACGCAGATGACAGAAGCATGCCT